AAGTCCTATTGTCATCGCAAGCAGAGAAATCTGATTGACTCCAGCCTTCAAGGGAACTGGTTTCTCGAAAACAAAGCTCTTCTCATCGTGGCTCCCGTGTGCGAAACCAATGTATTCCCCATTGACGAATGCGTGCAATGCGTGACCAAGACTTGCGATTCGAAGAACTGGTCGAATACTTTCCTTCATGGGCAAGTCTTGTGGACTCAGTGCAAGCTTAGTGGTGTACCATGCGTAGTCTGTGGTATCTTTTAACAAGCTATACAGCTCCAGCGGGGTCGGGTTATTGACTGGAACTTGAAGGGTGCTAGGAACTGGTTCTACATACTTGGTCCATTTGAGATTATTAGCAACTTTGATCGAACAAAGTTCCTAGAGTTCAGTTGCGAAACAACTCTCTGAGTGTTAAAGACCACGGTCTTGCAGTCGGGGAGGATGCTAATGGAACGGTGTGGCAGGTAATAATCCACGCCCCTCCAATTAACAGTTGCTTCAGTTTGGAAGTTATTGTTTGTCAAGAAAGCAGCACAGATGTTGGTTGCGGCCGTCTCATAGAAATGAACCTCTGTATCTTTGCTTATCTTTTGAACTCCCGGAACTCCCCAGAGCAAAGCCTTCCTGGACAACTTCAAGGCCTTGTGCAAGTCCTTGAGGTGACTCCACTTGGGGTCCCTTGGCAAACCATATTCATCGAGAGGAGCTTCATCATAGTAACGGGTGGTTGTGAAAATAGAACTTGTTCTTCCAAAATTTGTGCCACCATGGTACATATAGTAGTTGGTTAGAGCTCCGTTCTTTGAGAAAAAGCGAGCAACGGAAAATGCAATATCCTCTGCTGATCTTTGTGAAGGAGGGTCACCAAATACTCTGTATTGAGCAGTCCAATTCTCAGTCCATAGAGATGGCTTGTTGGGTTTGTTAGGGCCTGTGAATGTATCTCCGCAATGCCTTCCATTGCAAGCATTAATAACTGGATCAGGAGCATCCTTCTGCTTGCACATGATCCATGGCACTCCGATGTTCTGATTCACCGCAATCTCTGCTGCCCACTTCACGTAACTGTTTCCCAACTCTCTATATGCAAGCTGGACCATATTGTACTCATTTTCAATCTGCGCCAAGACAATCGGACCTCCCTGTGGAGCAAACAGCTTCGCATCTCTCAACTTGTTCACAATCATATCCACAAAATTCTTCATGTGATACTTGTATGCTGTGTTATCAGAACGGAATATGATTCCAGGGACCTCCCTTAGCCAATAAGGAAGTCCTCCGTGGTTCCATTCGGCTTGGATGAATGGACCAAGCCTAATGGTAACATACATTCCATGCTCCTGAACCAGCTTGATGAACTTCACCAAATCATAGTTTCCTTCAAAGTTGTATTGCCCTTGCACAGGCTCATGAATGTTCCAAAACACATAAGTTTGAATCACATTCAAGCCTCCGCGCTTGGCCTTCTCGAGAATATCAGGCCACATTTCTGGCGTGCTTCGCGTGTAGTGGATTGAACCCGAAAACAGAAGCTCGCGTTTCCCATTGATAATCAGTGACCTGCCATCATATGTCACGGGGCCAACCTGCAATGATTGATTATGATGATGATGATGAGGTCCGTGGCCTTTGGCATGGACTAGCGCGGCTGTGATCACTACGAAAACAAGAGAAATCAAGAGCACTCGACTCATTGGTACTGCCATTGTGTATACGAGCAAGAAACTTTGTTCTTTTGATTCGAGCAAGAAACTTATTCGTCCTCCTTAGAAGGAGGAGGCGGTCAGAAGATTGCTGAGAAACTCCATGAAACCCAATGGTATATAAGGGAAGATTGAGGGATGGTAGTTGTATCAGTTTGGACTTTCTGTTACGACCTTCGACGTGTTCTTACAAGTGCTTGAGCTGTTTGCTTTGATGTTTGTCTGAGGAAAACACACTCATTTGCTGGAATTAAAAATAAGTTATAACTAATTAACAAGAACCTCTTCCCCTTTTTTTAGAAAATAAGCACCCATTGTTAATTGGTGCTCAATTTTTTTTTCCATGCAATTGGGGTCACATGATTTTTTTACCTAATTATAGAGACAAAAATCCCAACCAGAGTTTAATTTTTGGAGGAAAAAGAGAGAAATGATCAAAAAAGAAAAAGCGTGCAATAAATTCGTAACTAAGTTGGTTAAGAGTGTTTATTGTTTATAGTCGAGGTTCTAAGTTTGATACAGCCCTTCAGAATATTGCTTGAGTCAAAAAAAGAAAAATATAAAACTAGCGTTTCAATTCGTGTAAAATAAAAACCATTTTGGCCCTAAATCAGTATAGACCTAATTACCTTTGTTTTAATGTTTTTGTAAGATATGGCCCAATTTGTCTAAATGTCTGTTTCAATTCGTGTATAATATTAATATGCCTATCATATATATATATTTACGTAGTATTCAAAATAATGTTATTTTTCATACACGTTTTAATGATTCGTTAAATCAATAAATTATATGTTTTTTAAATTTCCAACGTACTATACATGCTTTAAACACGTACGTACTATTCACATTAATACACGTTATTTTCACATATTTTTCAGTAATACATATAAGACTCACATATTCTACACGTATTTTTAATATACTTTTTAAAAATAAAATAAGTAATTGATTTAAATAAATAAATATTAAAATTAAAAAAATGGCCAAACTTTTCAAAGTAAACTTCTAGCAAAGTTGCCGAATAATACACGTACTATGGTCGTTTCGTATGTTACTAACTACTTTCAACAATGAATTGATTGATCATAAAAGCATAAAAAAGAATCAGCACTGAGCCAGTATTCCGCTTATGACTAATTTCGGCACCCAAGACCTTGCAAAACCTAGATAATTTGGTTCCACGTTAGGCTGATCATCAACAGAATCAGAACACAAACTCAACTAATTAAGCATGTTCAATACAAACTTAACACCACAGAATTCAAGGAAGGAATGCTTTCTCGACTTAGGGACCAATCAAGTCATACAACAGAGAACTTCGAAGATAAAGCATCAACGAAGCTCTTTGGTCCTTTCCCATCAACATTCTTAAAAATATAGACACCAGTTCTAACAAGTTAACTCAACTGAACCTCCTTTTTGCAGCACTCCGTCATGTTGATATATCGTCCTGAAAACAAAATTCAAACGGAAATAAGTTACTTCATCGAAGAAAAAGAACGGGGGTGCGCAATCCATGAACATAAAGAACTCATGACGAATTTGAAGATAGGAACATAAAGAACTCGTCGCCTGTGGTCTGCTGGAAGAAACTGCTAGAGAAGTTCAATCGTGAAAATGATCGAGGGTAATTCGCACCATTTTCAAAAACAAACGAGGACAATACAGGCATATTGAAAATTTTATTAAACCTATCCGCTGTTAACTTTGTGTAAAAATTGGATTCCAAAATCTGAAAAAATGAACGAAGATTGTGATGATGAAGGCAAGAGGAATGTTCTTTAAACTTGCAGAGAGAGTTCGTTGCTCTTAGGGCAGTGTGATGTATTGGATCACACTCATCTTCACACGAGAAGCATGAAGGCATATAAACAAAAGGAATGTAGCCGTTAGGCCTCACACGCTTCACACAAGTCTAGAGCTAACAAATCCCATGTGAGCAGCACATGTTTTCACTTAAACTTCTAATAGAAAAGACAGATCGCACAATACAAGCCATTAAGATGTTTTAATCCCAGTCATACATTGTGACCGAGTGTTCTAGCTAAAACTAAGAACAACACTTCAACTTTTATAGGAAACTTGAAATCCAAGCAAACTTCAATCCTGCAACAAGCTTAATCTCCAACATCTACCTCTTCCCAATTCAGTTTGCGAAAAAGCAGAAAAGCTAAAATAAAAGCATCAGGCCATCTCCAACCGAAGTAGGGCCAAAGGGCTATGTTTAACCCTATAGCCCTGCAAGAAATTATATTTTAATGAACAGTGTCAGGCCATATTTTATACCATTTCCAACCGAGGAGGCCAAACATATCCCTTTCATAAAAAACCATCTCCAATCAAGGAGGCCAAAGGGCCATAGGCCAAACATAATTTATTATTTTAATTGAATTAATATAGTTAATTAAATTAAACTACCATATTAAAATAAGATTTTCGAACATATTGGAAGATTATTGAAAGAGGTGGCCATTTGAAAATTATTGGAAGAGAATAGAATGTGAAGAATTGAAATAAAATGAGGTAAGATACTTGCTGGAAATGGCTAGCCCACTGGTTTGATTTGGTGGTTTTTGGCACGGTGGGGTCCACAAGCCCTTTGACCTGGTCATCAGTTGAAGACGATTTTCATGTCATTTTCAGCTATTTTTAGCCAATGATATTTTGGCCGATCAGTTGGAGATGGACTCAATTCAGCTGCTTTTGAATTTTAGTATGAATTCAACTTTTTCTCACCAATTCAGTTTGAGGCTTTGAGCAAAAGCAGAAAAGCTGAAATAAAAAAGCATTTTAAAGTGTGAATTTAACTTTTTCTCAATAATTCATTGGTATTGTAATGCTTTTATAAAAAGTGGGTATAAAAAAAGTTCAATTCAAACAATGTTTGGTAAACACTTAAAAACAGCTTATTTTCACAATTTTGGGTGAAAAAAAAAAGTTGAAAACATAAAGCAGTAAAAATGAGCTTATTCTCACAACACAGCAGAATCAGTTTTTTATTTCAAAGTACAACGATACTAAACCAGCCTTAATTTGCTCAAAAGCTGAAAAGCCGAAATGAAAGCAGCATTGTAATTGCTTTTGAATTTTAGTGTTAATTTAACTTTTTCCCCACCAATTCAGTTTGATCAAATGCAGAAAAAGCAGTTGAATTTTAGTGTGAATTGAACTTTTTTTTTTTTTTTTGGAAGAAGTGTGAATTCAACTTTAACTTTAAAAAAGCAGCACTACTGCGGTGGGAAAAAGTTGGGCAACTTCAAACGCCTCAACCATTGAAAACTTACGACAAAATAAATAACCATTGAAAACTTTAAAAAAAGCAGAAGTTGCCCAAATAATCTCTTTTTCTCAGAACGATTTCTCAGATTTCTTACAACGCGACATCACAGCGAGCTTACTCTTTCTCTCTGGGAACGACTTCCTCTGCGCTACATTCAAAATTGAAGGATAAGGTAAGATGGGTTCATTTAGGGTTTGAATTTAAATTGTAGGAATTAACGAGCATTACTTTGTTTTCTTATATAATTTATCTTTAAACTAGCACACTTTCTCTCATAATCCCTCAAGTTGAAAGGTGATTATTTTCTCTATTTTCTCCGTTTATTTTCTTAAAATTTTTAAATAAATTTAATTAAATAAAAATTAGTTGATTGATAACTCCTGATATATTGATATATGTTTATATTATATGTCTGTATTTCTATTAATGTAGATGGAAGATGAACGAAGATGGGAGGACTTAAAGATGGACTGCTTGGTGAAAGTATTTGAAAGAGTTGGAGTGGAGTCGCTGCTGTTGGATGTCCCTTTTGTGTGCAAGTCGTGGCACAAAGCAACCCTAAATCCTTCATGCTGGAAAAATCTTGTTTTCCCTGAATTTGAACCCGAACCTTTTGAGTTCGATCCATATCCCTTTTACGATAGATTTCTTACTGAATATCGGGTCGGTGAGGATCGCTTCTCTGTCACTGATTTTATAAAGCTTGTAGTCAATCGTAGCCGCGGAAGTGCTGTTTCTGTCAAGCTACCTGGTTGCTGCACAGATGAAGCGTTTGAGCATGTTGCTAATGTGTAAGTCGTTTCTTCTTGTCTTTTTTTATTTATTTTTTTAGAGTGTGCTATCCACACACCCCATTTTACTTCTCACACATCCCTTGATAATTTTTGTTCGTTGATCTTCTTCAATTCATTCGATCCGACGGCCGAAATTTAAAAAAGTGTGAGAAGCAAAATGGGGTGTGTGGATATCACATCCCAATTTTTTTATGTCTTTTGGTATACCTTGAACTGTTGTTATTTTCTATCTGGGACATGCAACATCCATTGCGTCTAATTACAAAAAGGACACACCCTCTAGAAAAATAATTTAGTTCTACATATAATGGTAGGGCTCGCCTCTCTGTTAGAGAATGAGAATGTATCACTTTTGCTTCAATTTCTTCGACATGGATTGCTTATATACTATTACTTTTTTGCAGGTGTCCTGACATTGTGATTCTGGGTTTACCCAGATTTCTGCTGTATGGTAGCATAAATGTAGAATTAATTGGAAAGTTCAAATGGTTGGCGATACTGTCTTTGGGCTGCTGCCACAAATTGGAGAATATACTTGCCGTGGTTAGCGTCCGCTGCAAGTTTCTTCTTCATTTAATCTTGTCGAATGCAAACGTTGGAAAAGATGAGGCAACGGCGATTGTCAACTTGGTGCCTAATATCAAGCGGCTTACCCTGCATCGGGCAAACATTGATAGGGACAGTCTCGTCGTTTTACTGCAGGGCTGCAAAGATCTTGATTATTTGGATGCCAGTGATTGTATTGGGTTTAATGAGGACGATGAGGAGATATCTCAGCTAGCTTCCAACATTAAGATGTTTATGTGCGAGGGATCAAAAGAGCGCTCTGAAATTTCTGTTGCTATGGAAGCTATGATGTCGGAAATGCAGAACTTTGATTTCTCTCAATTCTCTACAATGTTTGCTGAGGTTGATGGTGATGAAGAAGAGGTTGACGAGGAGGTTAATGAGTGAAGGAAGTTCAACACCAAACATCTGATGATGTTCTAAAATATCGCACATTAAATTATATAATTTGCTCTAAACGTGAATGCTTAGCATATATAGTTTGTAAAATTATTATCGTCCAAAATCCCTATTTCGTTTAGGGGACTGTAACTTGTGTTTATACTTATGAAGATATCGCATATGTTAGACCTATATTTCCAATTCATTCCATTTAGACACACAATTAATAAAACTACGAGCATTCCAATCCTGCTGAACAAAAGTTTAGCTAAAAAGATAAAAGTTAGTCATATGATAGATGTTCCCTCCCCGACTCTCGCAAAGCGGGGAGCCGTGTTGACTTGGGTCACACGGCTCTTCAGAAAAGTTTTACTTCATTACGACTATCTCTTTCTTTCCTTTAGATTTAGGAGTTCCTAAATGACTTTTTATCTTAGGAGGTGTATAGAGAGCGTGATTGGTGTTCATTTTTTATTGATGGACAACTCCGCTATTGACGAATACATACGAGTCTCATGCACTATTATTATGACCACATTATTAGAGAGTGTGTCAGCAAGTATGACATTTTTTTGTGTCTGAATAGTATCGTTTTTACAATATATAACATGTATGTATGGAATTTTTTGACTTATTATCTCATTTTATTTTTATTACTCTAACAGTAAAAATTACAATGCACAAAATATAAACTGAAAAAAAGAATTGAAAAAACGAACACACCTTCACTGCTCAGGTATTCGATTGTTAGTCTGATTGTGATTTCCATAACAGATTAGGAAAACAAAATTGAAAGAAGTAAGTTACCCAACTCGCAAGGAACTTAACGGCTAGTATTTCCAATTCCAATTCCCAGTCGGATTTGGAAATAGCCACTTAAACCTATATATCTACCCACCAAACCATCACAATCCCTTCTCTCTGAACAATTTTCATCACAACCCCAATTTGCTCAAATCGATCGCGTGCCCCTCTCTCTCTCTCTCACAATACAGAATGAAGAAAATCGGGTCGAAACGCAAGCTACAAGACGAGGAGTTTTCACAGAGTGGAATGCGCAGAATTATGGCCCCAAAACGTCCCCAGACTCCTGGGGAGATGGAGGGGGAGTTGAAAGAAAAGAGACAGAATATGCGACTGGAAAATAAAGAGATTGACGATAAGTCCCATTTTCTGTGCGCAAAAGTTGAAGAAATATTTAATAGTGATGTAGACAAGTATGTCGAATTCCTGGAGCATCTGCACCAATATTCCCAGAAAGTTGTAGACCTGACCGAGTTTCTAAACATAGTCGATGACTCGGTTCGTGCCGACGAACCTCTCATGAACGAGCTTGAAAGTCTCTTGGAGCGCTGCGAGGAGGCCCAGAAGGAGTGGCCGAGCTGCTCCAGGCCGAGCAAACGTCTGAAAATTTGAGGATCATTGATTTTTTATTATTTTATTATTTATTTTTTGTAGTTACTTCCACGTAACGTTCATAAACTCTTCTGCATCGAATTTTGCATCCTAACCCTTTGATTATCTCACTTGAATGGGTAAAAAATTCATTTCAAGCCTCAAAGTGTCAATTATGTTTCAACGGCTTCAAGGATTTATTTTAGGAACTTTAATAAAAAAACTTATGGTACTGTTTATTTTAACGAAAAATCACATTTTTACATTAAAAAATCAATTCTGTTACTATTCACTTTATCTTTTATTTTGTCTTTATTGTTAAAACTCAAGGTTTTCAAGTTCTTTTCATTAATTTTCCTTCCCAAACAATACTTGGATTCTTACATGTAAGAAATCATGCCTTATTGAACGATGATGGCGATCATCATTACTGTTTATACAGAACCATTCATTCTTTAATCATCATCATCTCTAGATTTCTCTCGAATAGGAGACTGTTTTGGACCAAGTTCAATCTTTGTCTTTCTTGTGCTTCAAATACATTTAACTTTTGAGAAGATGGCTAAATGTTGAACACAGCGTGTCATGTGACAACATTTCACATACATTTAACTTGTGAGAAATGATTTTCACCTCCGTCTTTATCCCCTTATACTCCCCTTGTTTTCAGCCAGAGATTGAACAAATCCACGGTGAATCAAGGGAAAGAAACAAGCAATGGAGTGCCAGAGGAGAAAAAGGAAGCGAGAAAATTGTTTCCCTTTAAAACTTTACACACACCGATTGACATAAAATAAACGCATGATTAAAAAATTAGGAAACCTAATGAAAATAACATGAAAATTTTGAGTTTTAACTATAAAAACAAAATAAAGAGTAAAGTGAATAGTACCCGGATTGATTTTTTAGTGTAAAAATATGGTTTTTTGTTAAAGTGAACAATACCGATAACATTTTGTTAAAATTCCCTAAAATTTTTTGCAGTACAACATTTTCATCTTAAAATACCATCCATACAAACTGTTTGGTGGAGAGTGTTAAGTACTGTGCTACAAACTGAGTAATATAGTTTTACGAGTCCAATCCCCGCTTTAATGACAACGTTGAATATTTGTCGTGGAGCAACAAATACTACCACAGATTCAAAGGGGAAAAAAATTTAAAGGAAATGTGAAGCTTCTGCAAAATACCACTGATTCAAGTATCCTTTTGCAACCTTTGACAGGCAGTAGACATGTAAGACCCTTTCAAGCTGGTAGCTCGAGCTTTACGCTGTTCTTCCAGCTGCAGAACAATAAAAGGAAGTCAGCGTTTCGTACAACTATACCATATGCTACTGATATGAAGAAAATGGCTAAGCTTATACCTCTGGAAGTAATAGTAGAAGAAATCAGCATAGAGCAAAGTCTGGATAATCCCTGCGATCCAAGCTGTAGGAACAGAAAAACGGCATAATTGAGAAGTGCGCATTAAGCAAAGACATAAGAAGATACAACAAGAAGTGGTATTTAGTTGAAGTGAGAATGTATGACAGATCACAAGATAACACGTCCACAGAGAGAGAGAGAGAGAGAGAGATCATACTTATCCAGTGGACATAGTGTTCCTCAGTAAAGTAGCGATAAATCCAGTTCAATATGTATAATGCTCGATATGCTCTGTAATAAGAGATTCAAATTACGGTCACATACAGCATAAATATGATGCTGGAAAACATGATGAGCATGAGAACACAACAAAGCATTGTGATAAAAGAAAAACGTATAATGTATCAAATACAATCTTATATATAGGGGAACCACAGTTTATATTTCTGAAGTACCACACGCAAGTCAAAAGTAGTTACTACCCAAGAAGGAAAACATATTGCCCTGTTAAGTTATCAATGTTTCTTGTCCTTTGCAACAGCACCAGTTGAGGAAGTATGGCAACTGCTTCCAAATATATGGAAAACGTCCACATCACCTGCTCAATCAATTTAATAAAAGCACACAAGAATGTGAGCAATGTGAAAAGAACGGTATTTGCTCTGTCATAATCTCAATTGATACTTTTACTGCAAACCTGAATGTGGTCAAACAGTTCGACTAGAACATGAACAACATCGAAGCCACAAAACATAGAAGATAAAAGGATATCATCAAATTATCCAATAAGAAATAAATGGAATTAAATAGATACCTCTTTAAAAGTGAACTTCTCATTTATAACCAGGGCCAAAACAAGACAAGGGAGCAGAAGAAATAAATGGCGGAATGTGTCTTGGTCCTTATCATATGATCTCCGAACAACCCTGTGGCGCCTTATGTACCAAACAATTGAGAAAGAGCTACCCAAAAATATCAACTTCATCACAGTATTATAAAACGAGACGTAGGTAACAAAAATATCCAAATAGCGGGTTGCAAAGACAAGAGCATAGAGTTCTTGAGTCTTCAAGGAAACACCTGAGCAGAACAAGCGAAGTAGAACTTAAGAGACAATACAAGTTTCAAGCAGGCATTACATACTAGATTAGGAGCGAAAAGAATAGGACATTACAATTAATTATTAGATACTCGACAATCAATTTAGCATATGATGTACTGGATGCAGTCAAATGTTTCAACCTATTTTAAAGAAATTATTTTCCAATTTGGTGGACGTTTAGGATCACGTGATAATTTGCATACACTACATTAATTCATGCCCCTCCATATACATCCTAGAACCCCTCATATAGGTATATCTTTGTCCTTGGTCCTTTCTCCTTAATGAACCGGCCAAGCACCCCTCATACACATACCTCTACGCCATCATCCCAGTCCGATTGTGCAAACTCCTTATATGAATTTAATAAAATCTTTCACTTACAAACTCATACAGAACCCTAATTGTGAAGAAGCTCTTTATAATCTTGCAACTTGTGTTTCCCTTCAGACTAAATAATATGGTCCACATGACTACAAACATCAACCACATGACCTCGTCCTTGATATGCCTAGTCAGTTGCACTGCAGAATTTCTAAATCTTTTAGTTTTGCATCAAAAGTTCACTTCGAAGCACCCATTGTTAATTGGTGCTCAATTTTTATTTCATAATGTTTACAACTAAGTCAATCCAATTTTGCAGAAACATTAAACCCTAGATCTCATAATGTTTAGCTTAAACTAAGTAAACTCATCCTCCAGAAATCTAGAAAACTCAGACATGTAACCCAAAACAGCGAAAACAAAACGAAAATGCTTCAAATTTTTCCTTGTATTCCGCCATTTCTCAGCAACCAAACAAAACCCAGAAAATGAAATCACAAAAGACGACTAATTGGGAGCTAAATTCACAGAAATTGAAAAGAGGAAGAGGAAGCTAACCAGAACAGGATTTGATAGTGTGGATCTTGAGAAGCAAAACCAGAACGCTGGCCAAATGGGTCATATCCCCTGCTAATCTGAATATATTCATCTTCTCTCTTTGATGGAGGAAACTTGAAAGTGTGGGGGTTATGGGGGTGTTTGGATCAACTGGATAATATTTTTATCCGATGCGTTTGCAGATCTCTCCTCCCATTTGATCCACCTCCCACAAAGAATGGGTTTCTTCTTCGACTATATTATTGATTTCGATTCTTTCCTAATTTGCGCTTTCCTGGATTTTTAGGACAGCAAGAAGCTATATAGATGAGCAAATAGTAACTGTTAAGAAATTACCAAAAGTAAAAGGAGAAGAAAAAAAAAAAAAAAAAACGGACCAGATCCCTTCCTCCTAATTTACCAAATTAGAAAATTCGTGCTGCTAAAATTTGATCCAATAACTGAAGTTATTATAA